TAAGTGTGAGCTGAGCGGGGGACCCTGGGCGCAGGACTCCCTTTGTGTATCTACCTGCTCCCTGTCAGAGGGAAGAGGCTGACGGAGGAGGGGTGTGCTGCCTGGGGCTCTGCAGGCTGGAATGGGGTGGCCAGGCCCACGCTGGGGAAACCCGGATCCCAGGGGCTGCCCCCTGGCTTCAGAGCAGAGCATTCGTCCATAAAAGGGAAGTGCATTGGTGGACTCAATGCAAAATCAAATGTAGAAATGAAAGTTCGATTTGAACCTTTCCATCCCTGTGCCCAGGGGAACACCGAGGACGGTGCTCCCAGCACCAAGTAACATGCGCACACAGTGGTGTTCGGGCTTTGTAGACAGCTTCCTATGCTCCCAAGCAGGGTGTGCTTGTGTCCAGGTGTGTGGGCATGCCTATGTGTGTCTGTGTGTCTTTGAGCCAGCTATGTGAGCAAAGCCACATTCGTGGGTGATCTGTGGCAGCCAGAGAAGCAAGCTTTGTCTGTCTCTGAGGTATCACCTGCAGGGCAGTGAAGTGAAGCAGACAGAGCAGGTTTATTTGAATGTGAAAAAAAAAAACCAACCCAGGAAATGTCTGTGTGCTATCTGAAGCTGCGCCTTTATTGCTTTCAGGTGTCTAATGATGATTTGCCTTGCTGTACGTCTCCAGACTGCCTGCCTGCCTGCCTTCTTTCCTTCCTTCCTTCCCTCCCTCCCTCCACTCCTTCTTCCTTCCTTCCTTCTTCTTTATTCCTTCTTCCTTCCTTCATTCCTTCATTTCTTTCTTTCTTTCTTTTCTTCTTTCTGCCATTACTGGTTTTGAACTCAGGACCTAACTCTGGCCTTTCTCTCTCTCTCTCTGTGCTAGTACTAGGGGCTGAATTCAGGGTCTGGGCACTTTCCCAGAGCTTTTTTGCTCAAGGCTGGAGCTGTACCACTTGAACCATAGCTCCACTTCTGGCTTTTTGTGATTATTAGAGATAAGAGCCTTAGGACTTCTTGCCTGGGCTGGTTTTGAACTACAATCCCCAGATCTCAGCTTCCTGAGTAGCTAGGATTATAGGTGTGAGCCACCAGTGCCTGACTAAGATGTGATTTGTTATCCCAGGGTCTTTGACAATTCCATTTGTAGTGTCATTTTGGCTGCATTTCCTGCTTTTTAGCCTACTGGTGGTTTCTGATAGGATGGTAGATATTTGACAACGTGGATTTCTTTTTTCCTCTAGAGCACGTTGAACTTTGTTCCTGTGTGGGTGTCGGTGTGGGTGTTCACTTTGATCTCTTCCTCTCTGGCTTTTCCTTATCTTTCTAGGGACAGGCTGGCGCCTCACTAGGGACTGGCCTTCCTGGGGACCACACCGGGTCCCACGTGCCTGCTTGGTGCCTCCCCTGGCTGCAAATGCTCCTGGTCCCGTGGGGTCTGCGCTCCTGCAGTTCGTAGCTCCCCTGGGCTGCTGTTCAGGGACTGTAGCAGGATCTTTCACAGGCACAGCCACGGGGCAGTGGGGGCAGACCCAGGACCTCTCCGCCCTCTCTCCGCTGCCAGAGCCGCTCCTATCCGAAGTCCCTTCCTCGCACTCTGCAAAGACATTCCCGGCTCCGGGCTTATCCTTAGCCCAGTGAGACTGGGGAGACCTGCTCGGTTCTCTCTCCCCATTTGGGCCTCAGGCAAAGATGGATCAAGCAGACAGCTCATTAACTCGTGACTATTCTCTTGCGATCACATTCGGTGTTGCTCAATTTTGGAAAAGCAGTTGATTCGCACGTGTTCAGCATTCAGCGTGCAGCTTCTGGGCAGCCACACTGTGGGGAGGAAGGAACACAGTAGCCAGTTCTCTTTTTATTGTTATGCATTTGCTTATGTGAGACAGGGCCTCACCCAGGGCCCAGGATGGCTTTGAACTCGTGACTTTCCTGATTCAGTCTCCTGGATCAGGGGTTAGGTGGACAGGGACTGGAGGCAGAGGCCTTGGGCCTGCTGCTCAGCCTGGGGTCACACAGAGCGAGGGCGAGGTTGGCTGGGAAGGCAGGAGGTTGAGAAGCCGCCCTGGGTCCCTCCAGTCTCCATCCTTGCCCCTTCAGGACAGAACTAAAGTACTTGGGTCTGTACACCCCGTCACACCCCTTCCCTCCCTCCCTAAAAGAAGAAAGGGGAAATATTACAGGGGACTTCCAGGCTGTCCTGCGGGGAGATGGGGCTGACACAGCAAGGCAGGCGGCCAGCCAGAGGTACCAGCTGTCCTCAGGATAGCTAGGCCGTGTGTGTGTGTGTGTGTGTGTGTGTGTGTGTGTGTATGTGTGTGTGTGTGTGTGTGTGTGTATGCATGCATGCATGCACAAGCTTAGGGCTCCTAAGCTGAAGGGGACTGAGAGAGGCCCAGCCTTGGAGCAGGGGTCTGTGACCCAGTTGATCCAACTTTAGTTTCCATCTGCCTGGGGATGCACCCAGAATGCCCTCCACAGCTCTCTCCTGGCCCACCAGAGTACCAGCAGGAGGAAGCCCACGGGGGTCTCCGGGCTCCAGTTCTGGATGGGACTGGAGGAGGGACCAGGTGGGTTGCAGGGCACATGGGTACGGGATGTAGAGACCCAAGACCATGGGTCTCCCTCTACCCACCTGTGGATTTGAGAGTCAGGGATCCAGGTAGGGCCTCAGGTAAGACATCAGCAATCTGGAGAGTCTAATCAATCTCTGCCAATGACTGTGGGCCTGGGCTGAGATGAGGGGCTGGCAGCCAACAGGTGATAGTCAAGTGACCTGGATCTCATCTTGTCAGTGTTCAGCGGCCTTGAAACAGCCTGGCTGGTGGTGAGTGTAAGCTATTAAGAGATGGATGAATGAATGAGTGAATGAATGAATGAGTGACTGAGTATGTGAGCAAGGAGCTGAGTGAGGGGCTGAATGGACAAGCGACTGAATGAATGAGTGGCCAGTGGCTGTGGACTGGGCCAGGCGTCCACCCCTTCTCCCTGTGCACACAGACAACAAACACTGTCACCGGGAAGGGTTGCATTTCTTTCCACCTCGGCCATCTCTTTGTGGTTACTTCTGATGCACATGTCAGATTGGTTTAATAGGTAATAAAATGGCATTTTTCTTTCTGCTTTAACACAGAAGTCTTCAACACAATGTAATGGGTTGTTAGATCATAAAGGTTATATGTTTAAGAATCACATTTTCGTTCTCTTTACGTATATGAACAAGCAGTTACCATTCAATGTGTCAGTGTGTGTTGAGCGATCTCACCCTCCATTTTTCCCCCATTCATTCCAACCCAATCCCTCTCTGCACGCACTATTTTCTTTACCTTTAGACTTACACTGTTCCGTATGCTACAGTCCTCATAAAAAGAATAAAAGAGAAAAGAAAGAATAAGAAAAGAGCAACTTTCTTCCTCTGCCTTTAGTTATTTGCCCAAATACTACGTGTGCTCTGGGACCTGAGCAAGGATATCTTAGAGACACCCTGTCATTGGACACTGTGTTCAAAATGGACTATACAAGTTGAGGTTGAGGATGGGAGAGAAAACCTGGGAGAGAGCGAGAGAAGGGGTGACGCTGTCCAAAATGAAACTCTACTCATGTATGCTGACAAGAGACAAATGCGTCCAGCCCAGGTGTCGACAGAGAATAGATTAAAAAATAGACTAGAAACACAATGGAGTGTTGAGGGACAAGTATATGGGGTTAAGTCAAGTCAACTACTTGTTTTCTTCCATCCATGGCTCTGCCAGAAAGCTAGCGACTTGGAAGGCAGACTAGGGAAGCTCACGTGTTAAAGGCAATGTAGGCCAAAAGTTTTCAAGAGTCAGCCAGTGAAAAGCTGGACAAGGCGAATCACACCTGTCACCTCAGCTGCACAACAAGTGTAAATAGGGGTGCTCGGTGAGTCCCATGGCTGAAGCAAGACCCTGTTCACAAAGGGAAGGTACAGAGGCCAGGCTCACCTGTCTAGCACGTACAAGACCTGAATTAAAAGAAAAAAAACCAGTACTGCATCCCCAAAACCCAAAGAAGGGCTGTGAGGAATGTGGAAGGTGCCCAGGAAGAGGCGGGGAGAGTCAGAAGGGCAGGTGAGCGTGGTTCACACATGCTCTGCTCGTCTATAGAAATGCCACTGGGAGTCTCATTATTTTGTCCAATTTTGTTTGAACAAAACTATGAAATTAAAGGAAAGAAATGTACTCTTTGCCTGACTTACACAACTGTAACCCCTCTGTACATCACCTTTATAATAATAGTAACAAGTTTTTTAAAAAAGATACCCTCGGAAAACGAACACTTGGGGAAAATGACTCCTCCTGGCACAAGGCATGTCTAAAACACTGATCTCGAGGACAGACACCAGACTTAAAGGAAGCAGGGGGTAGAATCCATCCCTGGAGGAGATATGCAGAGATCGGTGACCCACGTGGTTGACCCAGCAGTGTAAGCCAGAATGAGAGAATGTACCAGGCATCAGACCAGATGCGATCACTAGCCCTCGGCTAAACCAGCTGAGGCTCAGCCAACCTCCAGCTTCCTTTCTCACCATAGATACGGTGATGGTAAGCACTCGCTGCACCTGTTAGCCTGTGTGCTGGCTCCAGGGTTTGAGTTGTGTGCTGTCTGTCTGTCTAGTAAACTTTCTTGGTCTCTGCCTTGATGTGTCCTCAGGGTTTTTTTTTGTTTTTCTTTTTTCTTTTTCTGACAGTATTAAAAGCTTGGTACCCAAGGGCCAGGTAGAGAGTCCTCTCCTTTGGAGACTTTCTTTCTAGAGGGTCACTGGTCACTGGAGGATCTTGGTAACAGCCGCTGGTCACCGGAGGATCTTGGTAACAGCCGTTAAGCCACTGCACCCTGGTGAGCATGATCACCAGACCCCATAGCGCCGCCAGGGGCAGAGCACAGAACTGTGAGAGCAAGCACACGGGCCGGCTGCCTCAGAGTCGGAGGCCTGGCTATCTAGTTGGATGAAGTCCAACTAGAAGATAGAAGTGTCTCCTGCTGATCTGACTGGTTCTGGGCTGGGAAGGAGAGCTGCTGTCTGGGCCCAGCCTGAGGCTCAGCCCTGCTCCCCATTCTCTTTTACTTTCAGTTTTGATTGCTGTGACTTTCTGAGCCCCAGAATGGAGACAGGCCCTGCTGGTGGGGCTCCTGAGCCTGTGAGATCCTGATCAACGGCATGGAGGCCTGGCCAGAATGGGGGTCTACCCCCCAGAGCTGGGCACCCGCGGCCAGCGTCCTGAGACTGGTGAGTCCGGCCCTCTGCTGGAATGCCTCTGAGCTCTGACTCCTTCCCCTCCTCAGGCCCTGCCCTGTACGCACCCCAGGTGGCACAGAGCTTTGTCCTGGGGCTGGCCAGTTGCCCTGGTGCTGTCCAGCTCTCAGGCAGGAGTCTGCCTTCCAGGATTGGCACAGGATGTGGCCCCACGGGGCTCTTGGTGGAGGCTCTGAGGAGTTGTGCCCTTGGGCGCTGGTGTCTCCTTGCTGCCTGTCTTGGCTGAGAAGTACCGTGTGTGCCAGGGAGAGGGGTTCCGAGGGAGCTGGGGCTGGGTGGAGATGGGACTCCTCCCTGGGGGGCTTTCCTGCTGCCCTGGGTGGGTGGCCTGAGGTCCCTGGTGGCCAGTCAGCTTGGAACTAAGATCCTGCCCTGAGCCCAGACAGCCTCCCCCAACCCTGTCTGTCAGAGGGCAGGCCCAGAGACCCCACTGCCTCCCCTGGGGCTGGAGGGCAGCGTGGAGCAGCGAGGGGCCAGCTCAGAGCCCCTCGGAACGTGCCAGGGAGGGCACGCCCGGCCCTCGGGGCTCACGCTGTCAGGGGCGGGTACAGGGTGGAGACGCTTGCCCAGCCTGCACCTGATGGTGGGGCCACCCAGGTCCTGGATGGGCTGGGCTCTTCTGCCTCTGCTGGGACACGGCCAGCCCTGGGGGTTCTGCTGACCCACCGAGGGGGACCCTGAGCTCCCAGGGCAACCTAGAAGGCGCTCGGGCCGCTCTTACCCTCCAGCGTAGCTTCCTCTCCTCGCAGGGGCTGTGTCTCTTTCTCCTGGGCTGCCAGCAGCGTGTCCTGGCCCAGCACCTGTGCCCCGAGGAGGAGTATCCAGTGGGCACTGAGTGCTGCCCGAAGTGCAACAAAGGTAGGGGCCCCGGGGGGCACGTGTGGGGGGAAGAGGGCCCTGGAGGGCACACGGGGGGGGGCTAAGAGGGCCCCCGGGGACACAGGAAGGGGGTAAAGGCAGATCATCTTGCCCGGTTCTGCCCTGAGCATTGTGTGTCCTCTGGGCCCTCCACCTTGGGAAGCCCAAAGCCCCTGTGCCTAGGGACACAGACAGCCAAGGAGTCCTGAGAACAGAGCCACTGCGTCCAGGAGCCTTCAGCCCAGGGGGACTTGGCAGCGCCGTGCAGAGCGGGGCAGGGCGGAGGGTGGCCAGCATGACCAGCAGCTGGGGCTGGGGTGGAGCAGGAGCCGCAGGGCGGCAGAGCCTGAGCAGAGCCTGGGTGTCCTCGGGAGGTCCAGCTTCAGGACTACAGCCCTGGGGGATGTGGGCGTGGCTCAGATGGTGGAGTGCCAGCCGACGAGCAAAAGCGGCAGGTTTGGAGCAGTTCTGGGTCTCAGGAGAAAAGAAAAGAAAGGAAAAGAAAAGAAAAGGAACAAACCCCCAAACCCAGACCCCAGAGCAGAGTCCGCTGTGGAAGGCAGCGGGGCCTGTGCTCTGGGAAGGTGCTCGGGCAGCCCGCCGACCTTGCGGCTGGGGTGGTACCTGTGGGAGCCCAGGCTGGTTCCTGCAGCTCTGCCCCGCCCGGCTGCAGGTTACCATGTGAAGCAAGTCTGCAGCGAGCTGACAGGCACCGTGTGCATGGCCTGCCCCCCGGGGACGTTCACGGCCCACCCCAACGGCCTGAGCCAGTGTCTGCCCTGCCGACAATGTGAGCCAGGTAGGCTGCCACCCCTGGCCCGGCAGCCCGCACGCCCACCTCCTCCCAGAGGCTCCCAGGCCTGTACCCCACCCCGTCCCTGTCACCTGGGTCCCCAGAGCCCAAGGATCCCTCCTGCCTCTGGGAGGGCCATCCTGGGGCCCTGGCTCCTGAGGGCCCAGCCCACCTCTGCCTCCTGCTCTGCCTCATCTGCTAGGTGACCTGGGTCACTGCTGTCAGCCTCTCATACCTGTTTCTCTGCCTGTGAACGGGTCTGGGGGGGGGCGGGTATCCACTGGGGACCAGTTGTGTCTCTTTCCTCTCCTCTAGATGTGGGTCCCCATGTGGCCCCAGGAGGGAGTTGGCACAGCGATCTGGGTATGGGCAGAGGAGAGGCTGGCCCTGGAGAAGTGGGGAGAGCAGGCTGCCCAGGCGGCCAGCAGCTCCTACCCCAGGATGGCTGGACCCTGCCTAAGGCACTGTCCCCCACACGAGGCCCGCTCAGACTCTGTCTCACTCCTGAAAAGGCAGGGCAGGAGACCCATGGTTCCCCAGACAGGAGACCTAGGCAGAGGGAGCATGCGCCACTGCTGAGTACACTGCAGGTTGGATCCTCCTTCCAGGAATGGGAGGGGACACAGGAACTGGAGACCTGATTCAGCCTGGGCTCCACCCTCCCCCCCTCCCCCAGTGCTCTACCTCTGGGCATGGGGAGGTATCTGGGTGGCTGAGGCTGTAATCCACCCCTTCACCCCTGCCTCCCCTCCCTCCTGCTTGACCCTCAAGCCACGGCCAGCCTTACCGTCTCCTGTCCGGGGAAGCCCTGTCTGCCTAGGCTGACTGCACTGAGAGGACCGGGGTGGTCTTGGTCCAGTCACTGCCCGATCTGCCCCAGCAGAAGGCAGGCAGGCTCTCCTACCAACCCCTGCCACCCAACTGCCTGGTCCACACCAGGGAGGTCAGGTTGAGGGGCGCGTGCGCCAGGGAGGCCTGGGCTGGACCACAGGCTGAGGGGCGCGTGCGCCAGGGAGGCCTGGGCTGGACCACAGGCTGAGGGGCGCGTGCGCCAGGGAGGCCTGGGCTGGACCACAGGCTGAGGGGTGCGTGCGCCAGGGAGACCTGGGCTGGACCACAGGCTGAGGGGCGTGTGCCAGGAGGCCTGGGCTGGACCACAGGCTGAGGGGCGTGTGCCAGGGAGGCCTGGGCTGGACCACAGGCTCAGGGGCGTGTGCCAGGAGGCCTGGCTGTATCTCTCCTGGGGCCCTGCTCGGCCTGCAGAGCTGACTCAGAACAGAATTCTCTGTATCCCATGGGGCCATTCTGAGACAAGGGCCTCAATTTCCCCGTAAGTCCAGCTGCCCTCCCAAGGAACCTACTCAACTCCTAGCCAGCCTTCTGCTGCAGTGTCTCCTCCGTGAGACTCGGGCACTGTGTTTGGCAGCTCTGGGCACCGCCGTTTGGCTAAGCTGGGGGGAGGTCTGGGAGGGGCTCCGGGCGGGGCAGGGTCAGGCCTGGAAACTCAGCTTCATGGGAGTTGACCCTGCTGCCCAGCCCTCCCTAGCCCCCAGGCTGAGCCCTTCCTCAACCAGCAAGTTATCCAACGCACCCCTCCAGTTGAAGGAGACCCCCCCATCACCCAGCAGCCTTCTCTGAGCCTCTCAGTCCTTATCTTGGGTCCCAGACATGGGCTTGGTGACGGAGCAGACGTGCCTCAGCACGCAGGACACGGTGTGCCGCTGCAGCCAGGGCCACTTCTGCCAGGATGGAGACAGTGTGTCGTGCATGGCCTGCTTGTCACACAGCACCTGCCACCCAGGCCAGAGCGTGCTCCAGAGAGGTGAGCGGCAGGGTGGCGGGGCCCACCCCAAGCCACCCTGGTCCCCAGAGCCCCAGACACCCTGACTCGATGGTCACATGAGGGCCAGCCCCAGAGCTACCCGTCCCAGCCCTCCCCTGGCAACCAGAGAGGAGGGACGGAGGGGAGGGACAGCGGAGGGCAGGAGGAGGGACTGGGGAGGAGGACGAGGAGAGGAGAGAATGGACAGGGTGGGCGGAGGAGGCCAGGCGCTCTGGAAGGGCTGCCGTGTGGTCGCTCCACGACTCCGGGCAGGGCGGGCCCGGGCAGGGTGGGAGGGGCCTGGGGTCCCCACTCAGGTCCTCCCGAGTGTGAAGTGTTGAGTTCCGCTCCTGCCCAGTGCCTGCCACGCGCTCAGGGAGCACAGCCGGCAGGACCCTGCCTCTCTGTGTCTAGGGTAGTTTGGGATCCCCAGCCCCACCCTCTGGAGTTTCTGAGGGGTGGCCTACCCCCCCCCCATTCCTCCAACGACCCAGGGAGCAGCTCCCTCCTCTACCTCTCAGGCACTGACAAGCAGGACACAGTGTGTGCTGACTGCCAGCCTGGCACCTTCTCGCCAAATGGGACACTAGAACAATGTCTGCCTTGGACCAAGTAGGTGGTGCCGGGGCATCCCAGACTGTGCCCTGGAGCGGGGGGGAAGGGGCTCCTCTCCCCTGGGAGACGAATGCCCTCCCTTGTAGCTGATGCACCCCCCTGTACCCCCCCCCGGGTCTCAGATGTCAGGTCAGCGTGGGGAAGCCTGTGTGGGCAGGCAGCTGGCCACTGCAGCCACAATGAAGCTGCAACACCCGCCTGCAAACTCCTCTCCCGGAGGCCGCAGGATGTGCCGAGAGCACTCCCGCAGGGAGGACTTCCAGGCCCTCCTCCCGCTGTGCGTGGGGCCGGGAGGGGGAGGGGGCTCCACTGCTACAGATGGAGAGAGGCTATGTGGATCTCAAAGTGAAGATCCTGCTCCTTGTGTTTCCTTCAAATGCCTCTCCCGCTGCAGCGCTGACCTGAGTGCTCAGATCTCTGAAGAGGAGCCTGGTGCCCTGGTAGAGCTGGAGTGGTTAGGTGGGGCTGCTTCCCCACCACGCTGGCCTCTGTCACTTCTGTCCTCTTGCTGGCTGCTGTCACGTTCATGTCCAGGTTCGGCCGTCGTCCCTTGGCTCTCGGCCCTCTCCCTCCCCCTGTTCTCTCATGCTATGTCTCCATTGCCCCTGCGTTGTCCCTCTTAGTCTCGCTGTTCTTCCTTCCTTCCTTCTTTGAGTGTCTCCATATAGGGCTTGGAAGGAGCGAGACCCAAGTCCCTTCCCAGAGCTGTTGTCCGGCCACACTCCCCCGAGCCCCCAGAGCAGGGCTCTCTGGGGTCTGAAGGAGCGAAGTCTTGAGCGGCACCATGTCGGCTGCTCGGTGTCCATATCCCCTGGCTCCTCTCTCCTAGGTGCAGTACATGGATGGAGAAGGAAGCGGTGCCTGGGACCAACAGAACCGACGTCACTTGCTCCTTCAAGGGGAGCAAGGGCTTTGTCCTGCTTTTGACCATCCTCATCCTGGCTCTGCTTGCTCTGGTCATGCTATCAATCTACATGCTGAAGAAAAGACTCAGGCAAGCCAGCCAGCCAGCCCCGCCCCCCCATGGCCTCAGGCCCCGCCCTCCTGCAGACCCACCCCAGCTCCACGGGGCGCTAACCTTGGAGGCGGCCGCCTGGCTGCATGCTGGCTGGGAGCCCCCGGCCCTCTCTGCGGCAGTCTCTGCTGCCTGGTGAGGTGGAGCTCTGGTCTTGCCCACGGCCCAGGTGTCTGGTGGCTTCCATGGAAGGATGGCAAAGTGGGGGCCTTGACCGTTCCTGGTGTGGACGCAGCTCCCATCAGCCTCTGGCTCTGCGGGAGGGCCAGCGGGCCTCCGTGGACAAGGCTGGGGCCCCACAGAGAGGGCCAGGGGCCTGGGTTCGTTAAGGCTGGGGCCCCACAGAGAGGGCCAGGGGCCCTGGGTTCGTTGTCTATGGCACGGTCCTTGGGGTGCCTGTGTTGTGCGGCGGGCACTGGAGCTGGAGGCAGGCCAGCCGTGGCTCACGCGAGCCGGCCGGGCAGCTAGGAGGGCGGGCGTGCCCCCTCCAGACAGGGCCCCCTGGGGATGCTAGCCACAGGGGCCACCTCGCGCCTCCGGGAAGTTCAGCAGCTAGCCACCGCGTTTGGGTCCCATCAGTTTCTCGGAGCCCCTCTCCTGAGGCGTGTCTTTGTATTACAGGACTTCGGGCTCTCGTGATGTCATCTAACCAGGTATCATTGTTTGTCTACTGTGCCCCCTACGGTTGCTGTCCTGGGGTGTTTGCGTGGGGGGTAGGTGACCCAGGAAGTTGAGGGCCTGGGCACTGAGTCTGCAGTCAAGCTGAGAACAGCAAAATGGCTCAAGGAACCGCAAGGCCCATGGCCTGAGTCTGGAAGGCAGGTTCCCCCTCCCCCTCTTCCTCCTCTCCTTTTCTTCTTTTATTGTAAAGATGCGGTACAGAGGGGTTACAGTTATTTGAGTAAGGCAATGAGAACATTTCCTCTCGTGGAAGGCAGGTTTTTATTCTGGATTTATCTGGCAGCAGAATAGATGAGATGAAGCCAATGAATCTACAGTCTCGGAAGCCCCGCCAGCCGCACCCGCCGCACGGGAGAGAGCCGGTCAGGGACGCCCGTGGTTGGATCTACAGCCTGTGTGACCTGTAGGACAGCGCCTGCTGGACACCATGTGAGAATGGCGCCCATCCTGGGCAGGTCCCAGCTTCCCACAGCAGGAAGGATGAGTCACCACACGCCTCCCCGTCCACCAAACGGGGTCCGGAGCTGCCCGAGACCCTCCAGGGCCCCGGCACCGTGAGGACAGAGGGACAGCTGCGCCAGGCCCACGGCCCTGCTCCCCAGGCCTCCCCGGCAGCCAGAACTGCCTGACCCAGTCCCCGCTTTCTGCCGGTCCTGGTTCTGGTGAGACTTGGAGACCAGGCCTGCAGGTCATGGTTGGGGTTCAACGTCCTTGTCAATGGTCTGCGCTGAGCGATGCCTAGGGGACGTGTCCAGGGAGGACCCACACGAGGGCAGGGCGAGGGCTGGAAGACCCGCCCTGGCTGCAGGAGGGACCGGCATGGAGAGGCTCGAAGATGCTCCAGACCGGACTCAGATGGGATGAACTGGAGAGCGAAAGCTTGTGAGGGCGGCCAGCTCACTTCTGCCCCAGCAAATGTGGCTATTGTCCTGGATTCCAGCTTTGTCAGGCTTTCAATTTAACAGACAGGTACTTTAGTTTTTTATGTTTTTTTTTTTTTTTTGTGCCAGTCCTGGGGCTTGAACTCAGGGCCTGGTCTCTGTCTCTGAGCTGCTTCAGCAGCTGCTTCCTTCCTTCTTTTAAAGACATCTTATTAGGGCTGGGAATGTGGCTCAGTGGCAGAGTGCTTGCCTAGCATGCATGAAGCCCTGGGTTCCATTCCACAGTACCACGTATACAGAAAAGGGCGGAAATGGCACTGTGACTCAAGTGGTAGAGTGCTAGCCTTGAGCAAAAGAAGCTCAGGAACAGTGCCCAGGCTCTGAGTTCAAGCCCCAGGGCTGGCAAAAAAACAAAAACGTTATTATTTTTAAGGTGTACAGAGGGGTCACCATTTCGGATAATGAGTTCAATTCCTTTTGACATTGTTAGTGAAATGAGCCCCTTCCCATAGCTTAGTCCACTCCTTCCCCTCTCCACAGCTTAGCATGCTCCCTTCCTAGGCAACACCAGGCCCATGTAGTAAAGGCAGTAAGTAATCAACTTTACCTCTACCTTGGGATGGCACTCCTCTGGGGGCAGCTACCACCATCTAAGGCAGCAAGAGCCCCTTAGAGTGACCTTCAGGTCTGGGCAGCTGCAGGGCCCCTTATCTACTACTTGGGCAGCAGCCATCCATCCTGGTCCGCCATGATGAAGCCCCTGGCCCGCACATCCACACCAGGGTCTCGGCCTCCTAGCCCCTTCTAGCCCCTCCTAGACCTCCTAGGCTATATAGGTCACCCCAGACAATAGCGGGTGCTTCCTCTCACTTCTTCTCCCTTGTGAGAAGGCATCTTGCCGGGCCCCTTTCCAGGCAATAAATCTTCCTTTGTTCTCTGTACCTGGATGTCTGCATGGCTCTCTGGCAGTCTATTAATCTTAATTTTGCTAAGAGACATTGTCCCCACTTCCTTTATTTTCCCTCATTTTGTCCCTGAGCTTCTTAGGTGCTCAAGGGTAGTTAGGCTCCACTTTCACTTTGGCTTTTTTGAAGTTTATTGGAGATAAGAGTCTCAGCCAGGCTGGCTTTGAACTGTGATACACAGATCTGTTTCCCTTTTTTTGTTGGTTGGTCGTGGGGCCTGAACTCTGGGTCTGAGCGCTGTCCCTCGGCTCTTCAGTTCAAGGCTAGTGCTCTACCACTTGAGCCACAGCACCACTTTCAGTTTTCTGAGTGGTTTATTGGAGATAAGAGTCTCACGGACTTTGTTGCCGGGCTGGCTTTGAAGCTCGATCCTCAGATCTCAGCCTCCTGTGTGGCTAGGATTACAGGTGTGAGCCACTGGTGCCAGTGCTTTTTTTTTTTTTTTTGTTCTGGTCCTCATTAGTAGGCAAGTACTCCACAACCCAGCCACACCTCCATTTTTCACCATGGTCATTTTATTCATTTGAAATAAATTTTTTTTTTTTGTTGGTCATGGGGCCTGAACTCTAGGCCTGGGCGCTGCCCCTCAGCTCTTCGGCTCAAGGCTAGTGCTCTACCACTTGAGCCATAAGTGCCACTTCCGGCTTTTTCTGCTTATGTGGTGCTGAGGAATCAAACCCAGGTCCTCATGCATGCAAGGTAAGCACTCTACCACTGAGCTAACTCCTGCTCCTGAAATAAAAATCTGTTGCTGTAAGGTCTGCATAGGGACACCTCCCTGCCTCTTGGCTCAGTTTCTGCCCAGTATCTGTCACCTAGGTAACTGGAAGACCTGGAAGCAGTCACCTTCCCCTCCTGCTAGGACCCATCCTGGGCCACCTCTCGTCACCTGCCTCCCATCTGACCTTAGGAGGGTCCCAGACCCTGAGGTCACAGAATCCACAACTTTCCCCCACCTGGCCACACCTCTTCCTGTTCCTGGCCTAGATAAGTCCTGGCCCAGGGGTGGGTCGCCCCTTTCTCTCCAGCCATGCCTCTCCACCATGCGCAGCAGGGGCAGCTCGGTCAATAAACGTCTTTACCTGCCTGAATAAGGCGTGGTGTCCTCTTCATTGGCTACCTAAGGAAACCTACCTAGTTAATGTCCTTCACAGTTGCTACTTCGGTTTGGATGTTGCTTTGGAGGTTTATATCTCTCATTATCTACTACCCATCACCTACCTACTACCCGTCTACTACTTACCTACTACCAGTATCTATCTATCTATCTGTCCATCATCTCCTATCCAAATCTGTGGAACCTGAAGAAAGAATGGCTAGTGGTTCAGGGAGTCCCACGAGGAGACAGAGGTTGCTAGACTGTGTATGTTGTCTGCAAGAATCCTGTTCTACATATAGGAATTCACATAGATTGAGAACAGAGCCTGGAATAAGAGACCGTCAGAGCGAGGAACTGGGAGCTATGGGAAGGGACTTTCAGTCATGTGAATGGTTCACTTCAGACTGGGAATCTGACCAGTGTCGGGCCCCTACTCACCCATATGGGCCCCCTGGACCTGACTTCTAAGCAACCCAGATCTGTTTTTCCTATGACTTTCCCAAGGAACTATAAAGAGACAATGCCATTAAAGTGGAATGTGGCACTTATGGCCTGTCAGCTATGCCAGGAATGTGCCTGGCAGGCTTTCTACCTCTTGAGATAAATAAGGTAAACTTTGGCTTGGACGAAATCATTTTTGTCCTGACCATTTGTGTGTGTGTGTGTGTGTGGTGTATGTATGTGTTCCAGTCCTGGGGCTTGAACTTAGAGCCTGGGCACTGTCTGTTAGCTTTTTTGCCCAAGGTTGGAACTCTACCACTTGAGCCACACTTCCACTTCTGGCTTTTTGCTGTTAGAGATAAGAGTCAAATGGACTTTCCTGCCCAGGCTGGTTTTGAACCCTGATCCTTAGGCCTCAGCCTCTGTAGTAGCTAGGATGACAGGTGTGAGCCACTGGTGTCTGGCTCTATTTTCTAAATGTCCCTGCTGGCTCAGATGATGGGATCCTGTGGTTGTCAGCAATCCAGGTCGTGTCCTTCCTGTAAACTGCACTCTGCCCAGTTGTCACTCTGTCTGACTCTGTCTTAGATCTGATGGCATCTCACATCTGGTTTTCATACACTGGGCCCCGGCTGTTCTGGATCATCACCGAATAATGGAGCTCCAAAAGAATTAAGGCAACATCTGGCTGGAAGGCAGTTTGTCCTGCGCAGCGGCACAGAGCTTGTCTTTCTTGGGCGCTGGCAGGATGAGTGGACTGCAGACCTGAGGGGCAGAAGCAGCACAGCCCTGAGCAGCTGCCTTCCTCCTGGTGCTTCCCTCCCCTGTAGTGGCAGCACAGGCTCCTTCCACAGTGCTCACGGAGAGCGCATCAGGAAGCTGGCTGCACTCAAGTGCATCTTGAATTGCGGCGCAGCTGAGGGGAACGGAACGGTGCTTCCGGCTGGAAGTAGTCAGGCTCTTAAAAGGTCCGGCCTGGAGCCCTGCTGGTTTCCAGAGTGCGCCCTCAAGATCATGCCCACTGGTGCTTTGTGTGAGGTGCACTTGGAACCCACGGGCTCTCCCGGGTTCTGCAGTCAGCAGCACATGGCAGGACCCGTTCCCCAGGCCTGCTGCTGTGTTCTGAGGGACTGACATCTGGGGAGAGCAATTAATTCTTAGACACAGTAAACAGTCACACTATAATCTGTGTGCAAGTCAGTTAACCTGAGGCATCCCCCCTCCTCCTCAACGGGCCCTCACATTTCAGGTGATCTCAGCCCCGTTACCCCAGAGCAGTAGCAGACAGCCTGGGACAGCCCCTTGCACCCAGGGCCCCCCAAACCTATTCAAACCTGCCAAGCCTTGGCCCACCCTGCCTGGCCTGGCCTTTCCCACAGAAACCACAACAAACCTCTCACTGAGGTCTTCACCCTCACCTGCCCCCACTCCTGGCCCCTGACCAACCATGGTGTTTCCCCATGTGAGCCTCAGGTGTGGGGACAAAGACAGGGCTCTGGGGGCTTCTGAGTAGCAAGCCAGTCTTTCTGCACCGTACTTCCAGGCCAGAATCACAACAGGACAGGCCAAGGGACCGGAAAACCAGGTCTAGAGGCAGGTGGACAGTCCTTGTCCTTTCTACCCGCAGATTAATCCAGAATGAAGACTTTCTTTCCAGGCTACCATCCCAGCCAATGGCCTGGTGGTTCTGTTGTCCGGCTGGGAGATCCCCCCTCCCCCAAACATTCCAGGACATCAGTGGTGTGTGTGTGTGTGTGTGTGAACAAATGAGTGAAAGAGAGGAGGGACAAGTGAGTGCCCTGGAGGATAAGTAACACCTGGGTCACACAGACTGTCACACAAAGTCACTCACGTTAGGGGAGGGCCAGGTCGTATTAGGGTTACTAATATTAGGGGGAGGGAGGCCCAGAGAGGCAGGGAGCCGTCTGCAGGTGTAGCAGGCTAAGCGAGTGACTCAGGGATGGCAGACACGCACAAAGATACACGTTCACACGTGCGAGTGCTAAGTTCAGCGGGAAGGCAAAAAGATAAGAAGTGTTTGAGTGAGGCCTGCAGAATCCCTTCGGCAGCCTTTTCCACACCCTGGGGACAGGGTATGGCTTTTTCTCAGTGTCCAGAGGGCATCTTTCACGGTCATTTTACCTTTAGCTCTCAAGAAGCAGAAAGGAGGGCCTGGTGTGGTCCTAAATGCCTGTAACCCCAGCAACGTGGCAGGCAGAGGTAGGGTTTTGGTTGCAGGCTGACTCGGGCCGAAGTTCAAGATCCTACAGTTCAGCCCACAAGATGGCAGGTGGGGCAAGAGGAAGGAGGGAGGGGAAGGGGGGGAGGGAGGGGGAGAGCCGGAGGCGGGAGGCTGAGGGGGGAGGGGGAGCTACACCTTCACACATTTAAGGGCGAATACTCGGATTTGCCTACTTCTTAACCAAGTACAACATACAGACAGACAGACATCTCGCGTAGAGAGGCGAACTCGGCGTGGACGGGGCTGGGGCTCCGACTCTGGGGCCAAGGCCACCCCACCCCCAAGGCCCGGCCGCGTCCACCGCATCACACTGGCGACGACGCGCTGTGCGCGCAGGCGCACGCATGCGGAAGTGCGCAGCCCACTTCCTTCCCAGGCCTCCACGGAGGGCGGGATTAGGAAACAAGTCCGGGCCCTGGCGCGGCCAACTTCGGGGCGGAGTCGAGGGGCAGAGGCGGAGCTAAGTGGAAGGGGCGTGGCCGAGGCGTGGCCGAGGCGTGGCTAAGAGCTCCGGAGCCGGCGGCGGGGGCGTGGCCGGAGGCGGGGGCGGGCCCTGGACCTGGGAGGACCCGCCCGCGGACCTCGGACCGTCAGCTATGCCAGGAATGTGCCTGGCAGGCTTTCTACCTCTTGAGATAAATAAGGTAAACTTTGGCTTGGACGAAATCATTTTTGTCCTGACCA